GGCAGGCAGACTAGAAATGCAATGTCTCTCTGAGGATTGTGTTTTTCTTCCCTTTGTATCATGTGGATGTTTCTAGGGATAAAGGCAAGCAAAACAACCATGGGTGAGTATTAACTCTTTATTTCATTGCAGGAGTATTTAGAATGTCTTAAAACTAAGCCATGTCCTATAAAGTACATGAGAAAAAAAATACTTTAAAAAGAACTGAATGTTAAGCAGTAAATCGAAAGCTTTACTTTTTTCCTAGATCCAATTTTTCATTAGTCTAAAATCCTAGGAAAGTCTCATGAAAACAACTTCTTTGGAAGATATGCTCACTTAGAATGATGTGATCCAACTCACAAGCATTTGAAATAGCTTTCTTGAAATTAAAAAAAAAAAGAGCAAAGATGTAAATGCCATTAAGCTCTATAAGCCTAAGGAAGGATAAGCTTAATTTTACTGTTTACTTTTTATCCTTGCAACAAATGCTTGCCATGAAATTTAGGAAAGCAGATAACACCCTTATTCAACACTGTTTTAACTGCTGGGAGATCCATATGCTTCTTGTGATATTATTGCCATATTATAGATTTTCTGTTCTTTCACCTCTCCTTGATTATATTCTAATAAATGTCCTTTTGTTCTTCTAATCAGCTTTCAGTAAAAATACTTTTGATCACAATGCATTTCCGAGTGTGAAGTATAATGTGTGAGTTGAAAAGATATTGAACACAGGGAATGACAATGTGAAAATCACAATAGCTACAGAGGAGCCACAATGATGCCATTGATGAAATATTATTGATATACTTACATAATATGAAGAAAGAAGTTGGATTGAGGCTACTGAATAATGTTCTGATTAGGATAGACAGTTGACATCTCAAGTTCTCTTATTTTTTTATATTAAAGAGATACTAGAATTACTACCTTGAAGAACTAATTTTTTCTTGTCAAAATTATGAAGTGGTGAAGGCTTATATAATTTAAGCACAAATGGTGTATCTGTTACAAAGTTGTATATAAAGGTGTATAGTTGCAAAAAGAAAATATTGGGGTAAATATCTGAGAAAGTCCACCAATGAGATTATCAGACATAGCAATAAATTTTAAAACGAGATAAAAATGCATATAAAATAATAATTTTCAAAGTATTAGAAAACTACACTTCTGAAAAGATATAAAACTTGCTTACAAGCTGGGCACAGTGACACATAACTATAATTACAGCAACTTGGGAGGGCAGGGCAAGAGGGTCACCAGTTCAAAGCAAGCCTCAGCAATTTAGCAAGACCCTGTCTCAAAATAAAAAATAAAAAGAGCTGGAGATGTAAATCAGTGATAGAGTGCCCCTGGATTCAATCCCCAGTGCCATCAGAATGGACAAATAAATAAACATGTGATGATTTGAAGAAAGAAATGTTGAAACCATAACATTACAGAAACTTTTAATGATGGATTATATTTTAGTACAAACAGCTGGAGTACAGAGGAGAAGAATAAAAGAAAGAAACATAGAACCCCAAACAGAAAACCCTATGTTAGAATGACTTTAACAACCGTCTAACCACTTGCTCTCTTTTTGTGCACTAATTTCCAGCAGTGATATAATTTTGAAATGGGGATTTTATAATAAATTTATGTGAAAATTCCATGTAATTATAGCTGCTTCCTGAAGAAATTTGTTTTCTAGAAGGTTCTTGAATATAAAAAATATTTAGTAAAATATAATTGAAAAATGAATTTTATCATTAATCAGGGTGGATCTTAACTATTCACAATATGTTTAGTAAATAGTATGTGGTAGAAAAAGATCCTTCAGGGAGTTGTCTTAAAGCCATGCTGCACAGATGCCAACATATTTTAAAAGCTTTTACATTAGAAAAGGAGGCTGTGATGTTGTGGAATACAACTAATTGTTTCCACCAGTTACCACTGGCATTTGCTATTACTTGGACAATTGTAGACTCAAATCCATTTTGTTTGTTTGTTTGTTTGTTTTGTTTGTTTGTTTGTTTGTTTGTTTGTTTGTTGCTACTGAGGATTAAACCCAGGGATACTTAAACCACTTAAACCGTGAGCCACATCCCCAGCCATTCTTTATATATTTTTATTTAGAGACAGGGTCTCTCTGAGTTGCTTAGGACCTGCTAAGTTGCGGAGGCTGGCTTTGAACTCTTAATCCTCTTGCCTCAGCCTCCCCAACCGCCACTACACCTGGCCTCAAATTGATGCTGAAGATAGAATTCATATCTCCTAGAGTACTTGTGGTCATGGTGGTGAATGATTATAATCCCAATTCCTCAGAAGACCCAGGCAGGATAATCATAAGTTAGAGGCCAACATGGGCAATTTAGCAAGACCCTGTCTCAAAATTTTAAAGAGAGGCTGAGGTATAAATCAGTGGCAGAGTGCTTTTGTGATTTGTAGTACTTAAAACAACACCTCCTTGCTCCAGGTTAATTATTTCTTTCTTTTTTTTCCTGCTATTCATTATTTAGCCAGATAGAAAGTTGTTAATTTTATTTCCAAAGTTATGTCATATTAAATAATTTAAAAATATGCCAATATTATAAGGGGGTTAACTTTCAGGAACCTTGGAAAGGAGTAAATCCATTTTGCATGTTGTAGGGAGTTGACTATATGGGGAAAGGGGGCAGTCTTTAACAGTCAGGCTGATGAGACGATCCTCGATGATGTTCACCTCCTGGTATCCCCACCCTTAAGCGATCCCCTTTTCCTTAGATGTAAGATACATGGTGAGCCTGGAAGAAGATAACTCACTGGTCAGGGCTTTGGATGAAACCATGGCTTCAGTCAACTCTTGGTTACAGTCTTCTGAAATAGCCAGGGAAAGAAAACCCATATCTGGACCCCTGAGCCACAGGAACTGTGAGATAATGAAAGATTTGCTAAGTCACTAAGTTTTGAAGAGTTATGTTACATAGCATTATGGAGTGCTATTTGTTTCCTTCAGTGGCTAAAACAAATTACCACAAACTTGGTGATTTGAAATATTAGA